GCCGTCCTTGCAGTCGACGGCTTCGGACGAGAGACCGACGTGGACCTGGGAGACCTTGGCGGCGCCAACGAGAGCGAGGCCAGCGAGGCTGAGAATAAGCTGCATGGTGAGCGATGTCGAGCAAGTTGAAAAGTGAGCAGCTCCGTCGCGATGGTTTTGGCGCCTGTCGGTCGTCCGTCGTGCGCTGGGCCCACCCATGGGCCATGTCACCTCGTCTGATTCCAAGGTGGGACAGATGTTGCATGAAACGGCAAGATTCACGTGTGGACCACACCAGATTTTCAAACGTCTGCAATCGAATCTTCCGTCAGAAAAAACAAGTACCAGATGTGGTGGCCTTGACTGGGGTTCTGGAAATGTGCGCGAGGTATAATAGATGTGGGTGCAAACGAGATGTGTGGTGCTCGTATGACGCTGCGCCATACAAGGCCTTGAATCTCCGTGCAGGAATCGCACCAAGACCGTACTCAGATTCACCCATGCCGGCGTAACTCAAGTATGGTCGATGTATCCTACGCCGGGTTATTTTACCACGTAGTACTTGGTTTCAAAGAGGTGTCTTCGCCGTACCGCGTGCCACTATTTGATTAGTCGGCCACACGATGTTTCGGATCGAGGAGCTCTTCTTTAACGTGCAGAAACACGCCACAGAGAATATCGAGTCTAGGAATGGCTACGAGGTCCGTGGCACGCGATTCTATGTCGTCTGGCCTGTGGTTGCCCTGAACGAGCCGTTTAGCCGTTCGTTCACATAAACCAAGGAATAAACTTGGTATGAACTATGCAGTACCATAGCTCAAGACGAGTGACCAGCACCTTGTCCCGCGGATCGCGCTCCTGCCTCCGCCTGCCGAAATCGAGTTCCTCAACCGAGTGTACACAACGAAGAAAGTCCGACAATTTCATTTAGCATAGTTTTATCTATCGTAATAATTAACTTCAACAACAATTATGCAGGGCCATCGATGGTCTACCCAACTCGTGCTCCACCGTGGTTTGACTGTACGGGGTTAGTAGGAAGAAGTCAAGTGCTGCCGGTCGCTCAAGTGGCTATTCGATGGATCACATAGGAGCGAAACCCAGAGGGCAATTACGGTCATTTACCGCCTCAACAATCGAGTCTGAACCATGCGCTTCGTTAAGAGGGTCTGGAGTAGTGCAAGGAGCATATCGCGACAACGTACGCATATGTGCGCTCGACTGCCATTTCGCTGCACCAAGCTTATATGCGTAGAGATACACCAACGTGACTTGGTCTGAAGGACTCGTAGAATGAATTAAGGCGATATCAATACAGCGTGTTGGGTAGTCGATGCCAACATAGTGAACAACATTATTGTGGTGAGAACAATCATTACGCAACAGCAGATACAACCACGAGCGTCTCGACAGTGTGGAGTAGCGCTTCGATTTGACCTTCCATGGCTGCCATCGTAGCCATTGCTGCCGCGTTCTTCTCTTCCATGGCTGCGATCACGGCCGCCGCTGACGCGTTCTGCGCCTCCATCAGCGCCTGCATCTCGGCGAGGACCGCACTCGACGAGTCCTTGCCATCGGCGTCACAAACCACATCGCCAATGGCCCCCATGGCCTCGTCAAAGGCAGAGCTCGCATGCGCCTGGAGCGCCTCGATATCGCTCGCCATTGACGACTGACGCGCAAGCTTGTACACAATGACGCAGCGCGCGTGGTCGTCGTCGCTGGCCACGGCGCCGATCTGGTGCAGCGTGCGACCAAGTGTCATTAGGTCGCGCGCCACCGTCTTTTGGAAGCGACCGAGCAGCTTTCTCTGGTCTTGCTGCCCACGGCTCTTGCGCATCGAGACAAACACCTTGTCCAGCGACGACCGAGTGACGGCAACCGCTGCCAGCTCCTTGGCAAAGACAACGGAAATGTCCACGTCGATGAAGTGTGCCACGTCGAGGAGACCGTCCTCAAACGTTGTCAACGCCGCCGTCACCTGGTCTTGGATCGTCTTGGCCATCGTCACCCACGACGTCTGCTGCGCTACGTGCGTAGCGATCGCAGCTTCAATTTCGGCCGTGATGCCGTAGTGTGACTTGGGCATGGACGCGGTAAAGATCGGGTTGAGCTTCCCATCGCATGATGGCGTCGGCGGGATAAAGTAGATGAGGTCTTGCGTCTCTTTTGGCGAACAGTGCATGGCCTCCTCGAGGCGCAGAATGCACTGCGCGTACGCTGCGAGCGCCTCTGTTTTGGCCTTTTCGAGACCGCCGTCCACCGTCTTGTTCATGTTGGCGACGAGCAAGTTGAGGAGGAAGAGGACGACGACCGCCGAGTGCGCCATGATCATCCCGACGGCAAAGATGTACAGAACCCAGTCGTAGCCATCGATCGACTTGGTCTTTTCATCGGTAAATGCACCCATCGCACCCATAGGCACTTGGCCAAACGCGACAAAGTACGACGTCAAGAACGAGCCGCTGAGCGAGTTGAAGTCGTCGCTGTCCGTCGTCTTGTAGAGCTGGAAGAAGGTGACCGTGATACCGATCTGGAAGACGCCAAAGAAGAGGAAAAAGTTCCAGAGGTCCTTGAGCAGTCCCGTAAGCATCGGCAAAAGGTAGCTCGCATTCCGCTCGACTTCGAGAAACTGGAGACTCAGAATCCAGAGCGTGAGCGTGATGCCACTCCCGACTGCAATCTCGACCTGGTCCGGCGTGTCGAGCCAGTTGAGCTGCATGGGCAAAAAGACCACCAGAATCAGCATGTACATGCTCACTTGGACGACGTTGATGGTCGACGCGAGGTAGGCCGAGAGGTCGCCACGGGCCTCTTGGCACTCGTTCACGACAAAGTAGACGACCGCGACCGCCAGAACCAGGTTGTTGAAGACCGGAAAGAACGAGATGGACGACGTCACCACCAGGAGACCGACGAGAAGACCAGCAAGGAGCAGCGTCCCGATCAAGACACCGAGCTTCAGCCAGCGCTTGGCCGATGCCTTGTGACGCCAGAGGTCCGGGATGTCGAGCTCCGGATCAAATGCGAGGCTGCCGTCGTAGCGGTACCGAGCAAGCCGCCATAGCGTCTGCGGGCGCAGCGCCTGCACCGCAATGCAGCCAACAATGGCCAGCGAGACGACAAGAACACCGAGAAGCACCTCGACGCTCGCCGCGTCAAGCCGCGTGTCGTCGTCGTGGAAGAGCACCGCCGAGATGGTCATGCTCACGAGCAAGACGAGGTACATGAAGAGCATTTCGAGAAACTTGCGCTGGCCAAAGAGCTCCCACTTGATCTCGAGTATGCGCCGGATCGTCACATGCTCGAAACACTTGGTCTTGGCTTCAAAGATAAGATCTGGATCGTCCGTCTCCATGTGGAGAAGCGCATGGAGCGCACTGGCCGAGACGTGCTTGCCGTACACGTAGTCGAGGTTGGTGAAATGAACGTCGTGGCGGTCCATGCTGACGCAGTCGTTGAGAAAGGTCACACCGAGCTCGGGCGCGCAGTTGATGGCCTTGGCAAAGCCGTTGCGGTCGAACGCCGTCTTGGCCGTCAAGTCGGCGAGCGACGCCGCGAGCTTGGCGCGGTACTCGGTGGACGTCTTGCTGTCGCGGATCTCCTTCTCGATCGCGTTCTGGATCTGCACAAACGGGCTCTTGGTGCGCTCGTGGCACGAACGGCCCGCGAGATGTGTCGTGATGTGCGACTGGAGCATGTCGAGCACCGTCTTGTCGTTGGTGTCGCGGAGGGCGACGTCGGCCAAGTGCTCGAGGAGGCTGTCGACGATGGCGACGTGGCCGCCCATCGCTGCCATCATGAGCGCGCTTTGGCCGTGCTACAAAGAATCGATGAGACATCAACCATCGTGTGGAGGACTCGCACGTGATTGGTCATGTCGACGTCGGCTTCGTTGTCCAACAGCATGTGGACGTGGTCGAGAAGACCCAACTTGGACGCGACCATCAGCGGCGTGTTGCCGAGCTACGAGTGAGCGAATTATAGTTGGAGTGGAATCATAGTCATCAAAGGTATACCTTGTCTTGGGCGTTGACCTCTTGGGGGCTCTCGTAGATCAACTCGGAGAGCACCGAAATGGGCAGTTGCGTCGTGATGGCGACATGGATAGGCGACTGCTGCGCCTGGACATAAGCAGCTGCCTGCGCGCAGTCCTCGACACGCGCGAGGTAGTAAAGCGGGTACTGCTGCTTGAGGTCGATCTTGGCTTGGAGCACGTCCTGCACGCGAGGCGCAAAATTCTTCAACAGGGCCCCATGGCGATTGACATGGTCGAGGGAGCTTGGCGTGACGAGCTCCAGCGGGTTGGCGCCGGCGTTGAGGAGCAGGCGCACGCACTTGACGTTATCTCTGGCCATTGCAACGTATAGAGGGTATAGTCCGTACTACAGCGAGTGAGGAATGAAAATCGATTTCAAGCCTACCGAGAACGGACGGTGGACATCCAAGTGCGGCTGCGCCACAAGCAGCCGAAGAATGTTTGATCTGCCTTGCTCAATGACAATCGCCAAAGCGTGCCCTCGTGGCACTTGTTGAGCGTCTCGGATGGCAGCGGCGTCGAGAGAAGCTCAGCGATGCGTGTCCACTCGTGACTGGCGGCGAGCGCCGGCAAGTTGATGTCATCCAGAGCCTCGACGCAATCACCGCTACATTTGCTTTCACCGCGCATGTGCGCAAGCGCCGTCGGCTATGTTCCAAATAGGCTGGAATATCAGAAAATATGACAACACGGACGTACGATGCGGGTCGGATCCACGTCTTCCATGCCGGCGTCCACGAGCATTGCGATACACTTCAAGGTCGCTTCATTATCCTTGTGCTCGACGTTGGATCGGCACATGAGCTTGCGACTAAGTGCATGGTCCAGCGCTGTCTTGCCGTCCTAGTCGTGCGTGATCTTAGTCGATTACGAAAACATAAGCATGATACGAACATGGTCCCTGATGTCGAGACGCGATTTTTCGCTGAAGCGCAAAAGCTCGGCAAGCATCTTTGATTGACCTTGGATGACCGCGTACATAAGCGCCGTGCGCCCAAACTAGAACACGAATATGATCGCCATGGCGATCGTAGGCTCGTTGACAAGCACAAGGTACCTCGTCTTGTTCGATGATGTCCCTCGAAAGGGTTTGATGAATCCCTTCCAGTCGGCGGCGCTGCTCCTCGATCGTGTCTTCCGAAGCGTCGGCGTTGTAGCCGTCTGGGAGGCAGCACAAGCACTGCTTGTCGCTATGAAGCACCGTGTTCTCGTTGCACGTCGGGCAGCGCTGGAGTGGCAACTGCATCGCGAAGATACCGTTGTCACGAAAAGTGTTCCAATCGCCGATCCAGACGCTCGTACTCACGTCCACCTTGCCACGGTACTCGACATGAGTATGCACGTTCCCTTCGACGTACGCCGCGTCCGCTTCCATCCACTCACCCGACCATTTGCCGCTGACCGTGAACGGACTAATGTCGTCTGCGCCACTGCCGACGAAGCGGTAGCACGCCTCGTGGGGCACGGGTACGACGTCGACAGTCCAGACAACGGGTCGCCACTCGCCGTCGAGGCAGTACTGGCCTTCCCAGCGCTGTGGCGCGCGCATCACATCCGCATCGCACTCTGGCAACAAGCTCCGAAACTTGGCGACGTCGCCATTGCGAGCGATGCAGTGCACGGGAAAGGCCTCGCGGAACGTCGCTTCGGCCACAAGACGTGCGCGACGCACCTCGGCGACCGCATAGTTGTTCTACGCGATGTATGAGGCGTCATGGTCGTCATATGCATCCTACGTTGTCTGGGATGTGCACAATAGCGCCAGCGATGAAAAGCAGTTCCATCACGGCCATGATGTCATCGTCGTTATCCCAAACGCCTACGGCGCGACGCAGCGGTGTCCTGCCCCACTACAAGTCGTGGTGCATGAGTCCCATGGGATTTACGGCGACATGACGGACGTCGTCCACGGCGTTAACGTTGGCTTTGGCTTTGAGGAGAATCTCGACGCCACGTACGTTGCCTGAGGACGCCGCCAGGTGAAGCGCTGTTTCTCCGTTCTAAGCACGTGTGTTGGCGCAACGACCTTTCATATTCCATGTAGCTTCGGTAGAGTGTACCCCGGTCACAGCGTCAACGGGCGCACCAGCTTCCAAGAGCACCTCGAGAATCTCGTTGCAGCCCCACATGTACGTGGCTCTATGGGTAATAAAGCCGTCCGCCTACGTTGGATGGTCGTAAGCTCCCTTGCTGCATATCAGTTGAAATAGTGGTCAAAATTTACGGAGCCGTTGCGGAGGCTCGGGAGGTCCATTTCATGGCCGATGGTGGTGAGGAGCGTCTGAACCACACGCTTGTGGTTGGATGCAACTGCGTCCCAGAGCGGGCCAGACGCATACTATCGACACATGATTAGACGCGTCACACACAGCATAGATGTCGGCTCGTACGTCTTGGATAAGACGGTAGTTGGTGCGCTGGAGTACAAGCTCGACGATCTCGTTATTGCCGTAGCTGGCCGCGACTGTGAGCAACGAATCCCCGCGCTAGTGTCGAGAGGCATGGGCCACTGTATATCCCATGAAAGGTCATACCTGTGTCGTGGCTACGAGGTCCTCCTCAGTGTACATACCGTTCTTGAGTCGGTGCTTGATAATCTCGGTTTTGCCGTAGGAGATCAGATCGACCATGTTCATGTCCTGGTACTCGGCTGGGTCTTCGTCGTCTGTTGCAGTGTAATCGACTTCGTCGGCCGGTGCCACGATGACGCCATTGTCGGTGTCCTTCCGCTCGACCTGGACGCTGCCGTAGTCCACGATGCTGCTTGCAGCGGCGGTAAAGCTCATCGTTGCTTGCATACTGCCAATTACAAACTCAGCAAATGGGCCCTGTCTATATATGTGTAGTCCTGTCCATGTCCTTGTGGACGCCGCCAGATGACATAAACAGCTGGCACACTCGTCAGTTTCAACCCATTCGAAACGAGCGCATGCAGCGATACTCAAGCGGTGAAATCAGACCCACAGTCATTAAAAATCCTCATTACTGGTTAGTGACCTCGCGGCCTCTTTCTCAAGACAAGAAGTATATAGATACCGCAATTCGGTCCTTTTGATTCATTCCAACGCCATATGCGCGGAAACCAGATGTAGCAGCTGCGGGCCGTCATCAGCCAACATCTGACGTAACATCTCTGCACAAAGCAGACGAGATGGGCTCGACGACAATGGATAAGCAAAAGTCGAGATGATATTATTAATCGACCGACGACCCACTTCAACAACAACAACCGCCTCGCGATTTGCTGCACACACGAGCTCTCGTAGGAGCAAACCCTTGCGTCTGTCCTACTCTGTCTGGTCAAGGAGCAACATCTCGCCCATTTTGAGGAGAGATTTCAATTGATATCTGAATCCTGCACGGTGTAGACGATGTCGAGAGTTGACGCTGAGATACAGTCCCTACCCGTTGGGTTGATTCGTTCTCGCTGCGAATGCTAGTAGACAGCATGCCGACATATCTTTTATATGCTCCTGGACTATTCGGTACTTGAAAAAACTGAAACTGTCGCTGGTCCATCACGTGCGGTAGTACCATCTGTCACTGTCGACGGCTTCATCGACTGGTTATATTACATGGAGAGAGGACCAATGTGCTCAGTTTGTGATTGAAAGCATGCAGGTAACAACGAGCTTGGCCGTCGCCTCGAGTGGCGCCGTGGACTACGGCAGCGTCCAGGCCGAAGGGAAGGATAATGACTGCGTCGTCATGGCATCAGCGGGCGATGGAGAAGACGACGAAGACCCGGCCGACTACCAGGACATGAACATGGTCGATCTTATCTTCGACGGCAAGACCGCCGTCGCCAAGCACCGGCTCGAGAACGGTCTGTACACCAAGGAGGACCTCGTCGCGACACGGGTATACACTGGCATGGAATTTACCGTAGCTCATGGCTCTCGATACTAGAGTGATATGTCGTTGCTCTCCGTCGCGGCCCTGTATGGTTACAACGAGATCGTCGAGCTTGTGCTTCAGCGCACCAACTTTCGCCTTCTGGAAGACGTACTAGTCCACATCCAATGTTTGACACGCCGAATGATCGTGTCGTCTGCCGATAGTATGCGTCAATGCCGCTCGTAAACGCAGTCGTACGCAACCAGAAGCGCGTGGTCCAGACGCTCCTCACCACCATCGGCCATGAAGTCGACGTCTCGACCCTCTTCACTCAGGTACACTGTACTACAACATCCCACCAAGAGGTTTTTTCATGGGACGTAGTGCGGCGAGCCCCTGGTCTACATCGCTGCCAGTGGACCCGCCAACGAAATTCTCGAGATGCTTTTAAGCGCTGGATCCCCCGTCGACGCCGCGTCCAAGGTGCCAACGCCATCGCCCACCTACTTCGACAAACGTCTATGCTTAGAACGGGGAAACCGCGCTACACGCCGCGGCAGGGACGAGCGCACGTGGCGTCGAGATCCTCCTCCGAGCCAACGCCAACGTCAACGCCGTGGACCACGTCGGTCTTGTAGCTCAACATACGTGGTGCTGATGCGACCCATGCGCCTAGGGAGGCAGGACACCATTGCATAAGTTGGCATACAATTGTGTTATGCAAGATGCCGTCGTCGCCATCATGGAAAGGCTCTTCATCGCCGAAGCCGCCTTGGACACGACCGACAACGTACGACTCTGCGTATTGCGTCCTTCCTCATGCGCTTGCGTAGGAAGGCAAGACGCCCGCTGATATTACTGCCGATGAGGAGTGTCGCGCGCGGCTTGTGGCTGAAGCGACCTTCCGCGCGTCGTTTCCCGTGCACTGCATCGCTCGCAATGGCCATGTCGCCAAGTTTCGGGACCTGCTGCCCAAATTCGATGGGCCTGCGATGCGCTGGGAGGGCCGGTACTGCGACGACGGGGGGTGGAAACCCGTAGTCTGGGCTGTCAACGCCGTGGCGGTGCCCCACGAGGCGTGCTACCGCTTCGTCGGCTGTGACGTGGATGACGCCGGCCCATTCACGCTTTGCGGCAAATGGTCGGGCGGCTCGATCGAAGTGACCACGTGGCGTGATCTCGTCTTCGAGTACAACGGCACGCTCGACGTGCACACGGGCGTGTGGAGCGGTGACAGAACCACGTATGGCGTCAGCAATCTATTCCACATGACGCTGCCGCTGCACCCCTGCCCGACGTGCAAGGAGAGCAAGGTGCTCCGCCGCGACGAGCCGTGCTTGGGTTGTCTCCCGGCGGACTGCAACATGGGCGTCACGGAAGACACGATCGAGGCGCGGCGGCTGCACATGGAAGAGACGTACCAATCCATCGCGACCGACATCAAGAAGCAAGACGACGTACTCACTACTCGCATTCCTCCGTCTTCAAATCACATGTCTCGTATCCTAGTGCGGGCGTACGGCGCTCATGCACGCCGCCAAGCACGGTCATTCGACGATGCTCGCCGAGCTTTTGCCCTTTTGCAGCGCGTGGGATCTTGAAGCCACGGACAATGTTGGTCTGACAACACTCTTTTCTTCTTGACTAAGATCATGACGAGGACGGCATGACGGCCCTCGACCATGCGATGAGTCGCAAGTTGATGTGCCAATCCAACGTTGAGCGTAAGGACAACGAAGCGACGCTGAAGTGCATCGAGATGCTCGTGAAAGCCGGGAGGACCGACGTGGATGCGCGACGTATCGTATGTCCTCGTATCCTTTATGTCCGCTTTTATACCGTTTTCCTTAGCCGACAGCACTTGCATACACGCGCGGTGAGAGCAAGTGCAGCGGTGATTGCGTCAAGACTTTGAATGACATCAACTTGCCGGCCCTCGCCGCGAGTCACGAGTGGACACGCATCGCTGAGCTTCTCTCGACGCCGCTGCCATCCAAGACGCTCAACAAGTGCAATGAGTACGGGAAGTCGCTTTTGCAGATTGCCCTTGAAGACGGGAAGACGAACATCCTTCGACTTCTTTTGACGCAGCCACTCACGGATGTCAAGCATCCGTTCCTGGTACGAGCAAGGTGGATTGACGTATATCTCAGATTTGCGCTATAGAATGAACAATACCCTCTCTATTTGGCCGCGTCCCAGGGTAATCTCAAGTGCGTGCGCATGCTTCTCAACGCCGGCGCCAACCCGCTGGAGCTCGTCACGCCAAGCTCCCTCGACCATGTCAATCGACCATGGGGCCCTGTTGAAGAATTTTGCGCCTCGCGTGCAGGACGTGCTCCAAGCCAAGATCGACCTCAAGCAGCAGTACCCGCTTTACTACCTCGCGCGTGTCGAGGACTGCGCGCAGGCAGCTGCTTATGTCCAGGCGCAGCAGTCGCCTATCCATGTCGCCATCACGACGCAACTGCCCATTTCGGTGCTCTCCGAGTTGATCTACGAGAGCCCCCAAGAGGTCAACGCCCAAGACAAGGTATACCTTTGATGACTAT